AAGGGCGTTAATATGTCTATGGAAATTAAATTTCGACAGACTGCTGGTCTGAGTTTGCTTCGTATGTTTAGGAGTACAAATTTTCCGTGTTTTAGAGAAACACTCTCTTCTTTTTTTTTTATTTTGTGTGTGTGTGAATTACCATCAAAAGCACAATTACGATTAAAATATAATGCATCGCAAATGTTGCGTTTCGCGGGGCATCATTCACATAATACAATTGTCTTCAGAAAGCGTACCAGTGACATGCGTGAGTGGTAGGAAAATGACAGAGCCCGGTTATTTGACAATGCTTAAAAGCTTCAGAACAAGATTGTGTAATTTCTTTTAGAAAGCCGCCTGGCTCGGCGTTACATTTATAATGACATATTTCCTGTTCGTGACGTAGTCGAGAAGTGACACGTGTTATTCGCTGGGGATTACAAAAGCAAAATAGCACGCACTAACAGCGTTCTGTCGTTGGCGACAAAATAAAAAGTAAATATCTAAAGAAACAAAAACAAAAATTCAAGACAAAGTAACCTTGAACCATCAAAGGCGCTATGTCATCAGAAAAAAAAAAAAAAAAAAAAACCGCGAACGTAAGTGGAAAAGAAAATCACTTGAAGTCGAGTTGTTTTTCTCGTGTTACACAAATTCCTTCGTATTTTCTGTCATAATGATTCACAGGAAGTAAAACTTAAAAAAAAGCAACGGGGTCACAAATCATCATGCCACGCCACACAATTCAATTATGTACACAATTGCTGCGCTTCCGAGTATTCGAAGAAACGGAGACATGAGGCGTTGCTTGCTCTTTCTCCCCGCATGCATAGGTCATCTGGGCTTCGAGACGACCGTTTCTCAGGTTTTCCGCAGAGCCGTTGCGTCACGGATTGTGGAAAATCTTTTTTCTTATTTATTTTTTTTTTATTTTTTTGTTTTTTTATTTTTTTTGCTTTTTGAAAGAACCAACCGGTTCGAACCGTCTTGAGAGTCCAGGCACGGGCCGCACAGAAACAAAATCACCACAATTGCAGTCGTCGCTTCGCTTGGGAAAGACGAAGTGCACCAAAGTTGCCTTTTCCCGCTTGAACGCTAGAAGGTGTTGTACCAAGTTCAACTCAGATAAGCTTTAAAACACGGCTGTGGCATTTTAGATGACCGAGTAGAGCAGAGTTTCCTCTAGCCACATTAGCCACGCGAAAGTGCGATGCAAGAGCGAAGCTGCGCCGTGAACAGTACCGCCATACATATATATATATATATAAGGTGTCAATCTGTTCCAAGCGGACATTCTTCTGTAAAACGGGCCGATAAATCGGCGTCTGCACGAAGTAAGGTTAAACTTTCAGCGGTTACGCACTGAGCCGGTCAGCTCTACCATGTAGAATTTCAAGGCTTAGTTCTCTTCCTATAAAAAGTGAGAGCAAAATACTCACCAAAGTCAAGGCTGGACGCGTTCGCAGACGACCTAGTTACCGACGCTATTTACTTGTGGCGCCATGTCCCAACAAATGCAGCGAGCAGACGACACACTCCGTTATCTGCTCGCCGCGCCTATCGGGAGATGGCGCCACCAGGAATAGCGTTGCTAACTGGGTCGTCTGCAAACGCGTCCACCCTTGACTTAGTCAAGTTTTTTTTTTTTTTTGCTCTAATTTTTTACTAGAAGAGAACTTTGCCTCAAAATTTCACACTGTAAAACTGGCCTGCTCAGTGCGAATTTCGGTGAAAGTTTGAGCTTTCTACGCGCAGACGTCAGTTTTTTCCGGCTCGTTTTACAGCGGAATGTCCACATGGGACACATTAAACGTATACGCACTGACGACCCAAGAAACACCGAGTGTGGTTCGGTACCTTCCTAGTCCCGGCTTCGTGATTTTGTTCTGCGTTTTTATCCACCAATGCAGCAATCTGATTGGGGCAGTAGCTATATTTAACTTGCTGACGAGCTTCTTAAGTTTGTGGACAACCTTGGTTGCCCACAAGCTGTAAGTGACTGACTGATAGCTCGAGAATAATGGCCAGCGGCTAATAACGAGCGAATTTCTGACTCAGTGATGTATCTGTGCGTGTGTGTGTGTGTGTGTGTGTGCGCGCGCGCGTTCTTATCGATTGGTTCTGTGATGTCAGTGACCGCGCAGTCATAAGAAGAAAACCAAGGTAGACCGTGCTCTTTCGCCCTTAAGATTTTGGTGACCACAGTGACGTTGTAAGAAAGAGCGCGCTCATGCTAGAGGAGGAGGAAGAAAAATAATTTAACACTCTAAAAAACGTTTGTGCGTGAACTTTCACGCACAACACTCGGAGAGCCAATCAGCGCAACTTACAGAGCGAGCTCAGCAAATGACGATGCCGAAACATATGTTTAGGTCAAAAAACACAGCCTGAGTTGTGACATTAAGCAATGCAAAACGTCACGCTTGCATTGCGTAATGTCAAAAGTCAGTCTGCGTTTTTTGGGCTAAACTGATGTTTTGGCTTCGTCATTCGCTGAGCCGCCTTCGTAAGTTGCGCTTATTGGTTCTCAGAGTGTTGTGCGTGAAAGTAGACGCACAGAATTTTTTTATAGTGAAGGATAAATGATCGTTGTCTTGTTTATTATTACTCAGTTTGTTCGTGGCATGCTATTTGCTACAACGTCAAATCCGATTAGCCAAGCTTCTAGAAAACCAGGAGGTCAAGAACATAGTGGTTCAAAATGCTATCTGTATTGAGGATTTCCGCACTTCGTTTCAAAACAGCAAAACAAAATTAAAGGACCAAAAAGTTATGCGATCGTGTCATAAGCTGAAAACGTTAGGTGTAGGGTAGCGATTGGCTCCTCGTGAGCATAAAAGCCAAATATATTGGCGAGCATGTGTTGCAACGCAGTTCGCTCCTAAAAATAAAGATGAGCAGGGTAAACGTCCTGAGTTCAGCCAATGCTGTATAATCAAATGAAGCCCTCTTACGTTCATTTAACAGGCCAATAAAGTTAACCGCAATATGCGCTGGGGGGCTGACTCGAGATCTGCTTCGACGTATTTTTTTACGCCAATAAAATCATGTAGCCTCTGTCGTCAGCCGTTTGGACTTCAGCCGTTAGAACAGAAGATTTACTCGTTCGTTTTTCTTAGAACATAATGGTAAAAATACCTGACTTTCCAGTAGGGCTGGGGGTGGGTAAAAAATATTTAACCCGATTAATCGCCACTTTTTAATCGATTATTCATGAACTAATTGGTCTCGTTCATTTCCATGCATTATATTTCTTTTAAAGTCAAAATTGCAACATGATAAAACAGCGCAAAGAACACGGAAGAAGGAAAAATGACAGGTAGAACGAAAGAGCACTGTTTTGTCATGTTGAAGTACAAACTAGCTCAAATCACTTACTACAACTCAAAACTACTTTTTTTCTTTTTTGCTGCTTTTGTTGAATTTGTGATAAACGGCGCAATGTACAATTTTGATTATGAATCGATATCGATTTGTAGCTGAGAACAGTTCAAAGATACTCACACTCACATGTGCTGCAAAAACTCACATTTAAATTTATTGATATCCTCTGGCAAGAGCGACCTCTTTTGATTGTTTACAATAGTCTGCTTCTTTAAATGGACAGACGCACGGCGTTGAAGTAGCCGGGACACGTGTAACATTCTGCACTTGTCACGAGTTCCAAATCTTGCCTTTACAGTTTACTCTAGGATATAATTTATCCTAAAATTGGTTCATGGTTCATGCAGGTTTTCTCGTCATGGTGTGCGTGGTAAAAGCGCTTAACTTTTACTATCTTTCGTTTCGTAAAAAGTTTACCGATTTACCGGTTGACAAAAAATAATCGCAATTGAGGCATTAATTGATTAACCGGTAGGTTAAGCGATCGATAGCCCATAACTTCTTTCTATGTAAGGTTTCGCTCATGGAATGGAGTTTCACCGCAACTGCTATGATATAGAAACGTTGGTTTTGCCTGCATATTTTGCAGGAAGAGAACAAAAAACGCAAGTAAGAGGCGTGAACCGAACACTCTGTTTCATTAATTTTATGAAGAAAACAAAACGATTAGTTGTTTAGGCACGACATGTTAAACAATCATACAGTCTTCTAAATATGTCGTTGAGTGTATTCATTTTTCTTGTTACAATCTCTTGCGAAAATGTTATAATGAGAAAACAGCTGAAAGCGCATTAGAAGAGGCACGAAAAAGTAATCTTGATAGCAACATGGTAATATCTATTCATAAACGAACTAAATGCAAAGTCCACGTTTTTTTCTGAAAGCTTGAACTAACTGAATGTGTCCAGGTGTGCAATGGACACTAGCCTTCGCCCTGAAGTGGCTACGAGAAAGCTGAGCCGCTTGCTAACCAGGTGAGGGCGCTCGAAGGAAAACGCCAAGGTCTTTTACTCAATCTCTAGCTTCTCCCGGTAATGTCGTCAAGGGCTGCATTTCGCCTCATCACAAAAATGAAAACGTCGCACATTCCAAGAACAGTTTGTTTCCTCCATGGCGCTTCATCGGCGCGCATACTAAGACACGGATGACGTCGCGGCTGCGACGTAATCCGGTACGTTTACCGAACGGCGACGTCGTAGTTTCGATTTCGACACGTGCCTGTGCCTCTCCTTGGCTAGACATCGCCTCGGGACAGCTCCGACCTCAGGTTGCATACGGCCAGATGACGACGCGACGGACGGGCTCTACCGCACGTGTAAGAAACTCGTTAAGAATCTACCCTTCAGACACGCGGGCATCCGATTGGCGGATGGCCACAAAGGAGAGATCAAGTTGCGCAAGTCAACCGTGAAAACCCGGAGACATCATTGGAGAGCCGAGGTCTCGCCCCTTCCAAAGACCGGTTCGCCGCATTAAAAACGACGAACTGAGACCGGCCACCAGTCCTGTCGCTTCGGGGAACCTTGGTTTTACTCGGTGTCTTTGTTGCTTGCCGGTTAGCCAACGGAAGCTCTGCTGCTGCTGCTGCTGCTGTGACTGTTTTTGGTAACCAACCCAGTGGGCAACAAACAAAAATGGCCAGCAAACTGGTGAGTCCCCGGGACCGTCTTCAGCAGTGGACGGGGGGGAGGGGGAAACCTTGCGATTGTTGTCTTGGACGGGTTACTGATCTTCTGGGTCGTTTTAGGGCGCGATACCTCCGCGTCCTTCTTCTCCTTCTCCGTCGACGCGTCTTCTTGTGTCCTGGACGGGCCAGACTGCTCTCGGTAATGGGACGGGCCCTACAGAGCTGGTTCTAGAGCATTATCGGGAGCCCCCCCGAAGGGTTGCCCCGGATTCTCCGAAATGGCGACGGAGAGGGTGATCGTGACTTTGGGCATTAAGCGGTCAACAACGCCTCGCCTCGCGATCGGGGAATCGTCCCCGAAGACGACTGCGGCGCTGGGAACCCGCGCCAAAAAAGATTAACGACGCGAGGACGTGTTGGAAGGGTGGCTGTAGATTTGGGGGAATCTGCTTTCTGTGTCTGTGTGTCTGTGGATGCACGAACACATATGCGCGCGCGGCTCTGACTTGTTCTTTGTCACTGCGTTGTAGGAATGTGCGCGACGTCGAAAGGACCCCTCATGCATATGAATGCCGCGCTTTGCCCTTCTGCTAATGGGAGGGTTCAAATTGGTGCGTTGCTGGGGGAGGGGGGGGGGGGGGGGGGTTCGCATCGCATCGCGCTCCAGGGGACGAGGTCTCGAGAAAACAGGACAAAATAGCAGTGAGACTATACGGAGAAGATACTATCGGCGGAGGCTTGTTATGCGCCAATCTGAGGCGCCACTGTCCTAATGTAAGCCGGCAGTGGAGGTACACAAAACTAGGAGCGAAAAAGGGTTCGGGATAAATAAAACGGGAAAGTTTACAGGAAAAATAAATAAAAACTGAAGCTTGTTTGTCAGGCCAATTGGTCTGACAGGGCTGATGTTCGCTTCTTCGTGGGAGTTTTAGGAGAGTTGTAGGGGTGTCGGACAGTGGACCGAACTGTCGGTTTGACAGATGGCCTACTTGGCTTTGTGGAATATACATCCGCTTTAATCGTCGTTCCTACAGATTAGCATATCTACGTGTCGGGTATTGAGAGTAGAAGTTGGAGAACCGTAGGTTTTATTATATTTGTTTTTCTGAACATTGAATGATATAGGATTAGCTCACGGTAATTCTTTCAATGTTTTCTATTGATAATGAACAGACAGCAAGGTTCTCTTTCATGATGTAGATAGACATTAGTGGCAAAAAGCTACCTCTTTTTTTATTTTTTTTTATTTTCTGTGGGCTTGGGTTTTACGCTTGCGATTATGTCGTTTCTTACTTTCAGTTTTCTTACCACCATGATACACGACTACTCAATCATACCTTATATTCTATTTAGGGTTTAGCGTCTTCATTATTGTTTTTCGCACTAGCCATGTTCGTTAAAAAAAAAACTCGCATCATTTCGTATTTTTTTCCCGCATAGCCACTTTACTGTTTTAGTTCCTCATTTCCTTATCAATTTGAGACCAGTCATACGCTTCCATCACGCTAGTGTTTTGAATTACCCTGTTATCTCCAGTCGGAGATTGCTCTTACGTGTTAAAAGTCTGAAGTTAACCAAAATAAAATTTTCAAGCGGCACAGAAACGTAGGTTACCAAACACTGTATGCTATCGTTTTTTTTGTTTTTTTTGGCACGTAACATTACGTTTTCAGCGTCGTCTCTAACTTGAATCCGACAGGCAGATTACTTATTTGGTAAACCATGGTACAGATTGTATTTTACTAAATATAAAAGAACCAGGTGTTTTTCTACACAATGGGAAGGATCGATTTTTATGGTAAAGGGGGAAAAATAAGAGCCGTTTGCCCATGGAGTATGCTAGTGTTTCTTCCCTATGACTACACAGACGCTGAAGTAGTTCAATGCTTAACAAGTGTCACGATTTCACGTTCATTGCACAATATTCGCACATATTCACAAATTGTGTCCTTTTTTTTTCTCCTTTTATCTTTAGTCCCTCCTCGTAGTGGTGCTAGCCCTGACAGCGTGCCTCGCCTTTGCCGAAGAAAAGAAACCAGCAGCTGCCGCTCCCGCCGCTGCAGGCCCCAAAGGTGACGAAGGCGCCGCTGAAGGCGAGGAAGGCGTCGAGGGACGCGGTCTTATCAGGAAACTCGTGGGCCACATTAAGGGCCACCACCGCAATAAGCACGGACACGGAGGAGGCATCGGCGGCGGATACGGCGGTGGCTACGGAGGAGGCTACGGCGGAGGCTACGGCGGAGGCTACGGCGGAGGCTACGGAGGCGGACACGGCGGTGGCGGTCACATCGGCGGTGGACACGGAGGATTCAAGGGGCCCATTGGCGGAGGACCTGGAATCGGCCTGGGTGGACAGCACTACGCTCAGGGGTCCAGCCAGGGCTCTTTCAACCAGGGAGCCGAGGGCTTCAAGCAGGGCAGCGGAGGCTACCAAGGTGGAGAGAACTTCCAGAAAGTAAAGGGATTCAGACAGACCGAGGGCTTCAAGACTGTCGAGGGATTTGACGAGACCAACTTCAACCGCTACGGCGCCGGCCAGGGAGGCTTCAGCAGCGGGTTCAAGCAAAACGCCGGAGGGCAGTTCAGCCAGCAAGGCTCGCAGGGCGGCAGCTACGGTAGAAGGCGCTAAGCTACATTTTTTTTTTTTTTTTGGTTTATGCAGGAGTTCTTTGGAATGATCGATGCGAGGATATTCGAACGAGAAATGTTTTGAGACGACCGAGTTGTATATACGAAGCAGTGTGACGAATGTTGAATAAAGTGATATTTATTGAATGATTTACGTCGAATCGCCTATTTGTTGGGGGTTGAAATGTAATCTGACTCCGAATCCAACTAGCGACTGAATATTTATATCAAGGTCATTGGAACACCGAGAGCTTCAATAGCAATACTTTTAGTTGTATTTTAATCCTACGAATATAGTCGGGAGACGCAGCATGTGCAGCGAGTTTGAAGCATCGCTGAGAGTTTGCTTAGGAGCTTTTCCAAGCTCTGCTTTCATAAGCTTTGCGAGTTTGCCTATCAGCTTTTGCAAGTTCTGATTTTATGAGCTTTGTGGGTTTGCATACGAGAATTTGCAAGCTCTGCTTTCATGAGCTTGGCAAACTTGTTTATGATCTTTATGAGTTTGCTCATGAGTTTTTTTAGTTTGCCTGCTTATGAGCTTTTACAAGCTCTCCTTTATGAACTTTATGAGTTTGCGTACAAGCTTTTACAGGTTTTGTTTTAATGAGGTTTACGTGTTTGCTTATGCGTTTCATTACCTTTTGCGAGGCACAGTGTGCATAATGCGTTGCCCAACCTTCCCCCTAAGATTAAGGTACAATTATATTTATTCGGGCGCCGAAAGCAAGACTCGCGGGTGTTTCTACGATTGCCTAATAGACCTGTGCCTCAATGTCCTTCTAAATAGACCTAGGGTGCCTTCATGTGCGCTTTGCTTAGGGTGGAGACATCTGGCCATTTTGTCCCACACTTTTATTTTTCTTTTTTGTTCTGAAGCGCGTGAAAGAGCGTGCCCCTGCACGCGTTTCTGGCGCTGACTGTGCTATGGCGACATTTTGTTTTCGTCGATTTCTTTGTATTTTACCCGTGAGCGCGTGCGGTCGGCATCGGGTACTACAAAGGGTGGTATCACCCTTAACAGAAGAACATTGAGGCACCCTAAATAGACCTATTTTTAAATTACCCAAGCACCGAGAAGAATGCAGGGAACCTTAGGTACACGCGCTGCACGCGCTCGGCTTATCAACACGTATAAAGGATTTGAAATAAATATTCAAAATAAAGTGTGGACAAACGCTCGCGCCACGTCCTTTTCGTTCTAGGTTTGTGCTTGGTAACAATCACCGCCGCAGACGCCAGCACGTGCGGTACGCGTAACCACAGCCGCAGCACCCTCTTAAGCTTGGTTCAGACAGCTGCGTTTGACTGCGTTTGACTGCGTTGCGGCTGCGAGAAACCAGGACATCCCTGCTGCTTATATCGCGTACCAAGGTGATTCCTTGAATTGGATTCCACACTTTAAACGAAGCGCAGATGTGCCGGTGACTCTTTCGGTTCTCGACGCAACGCAGTCAAACGCACTCAAACGCAAGTGTCTGAACCGGCCTTTATAGTCCCTGCTTGGGTAATATAGCAAAAAGGTTTATTTCGTGGGAGATACGTCGTCGAGCAGTCTGTTTATGTGTATCTGTTAGAAGCCATCTCGATAGACTGAAGGCGGCGCAGCCAGCAGCTGGTGTCATAAACGAAGAAAAGCAGAGAGAGAGAGAGAGAGGGAGGGAAATGAAAGAGAGTGGTGACGTCAGAACCCCAAGCTCCGATTGGAAAGACATTGGAACGCCATGGCGTTCGAAGTTCGAACGCGAGACACTTTGTGAGGAGCACACGACGATCTCGTTCGCTCTGATCGGAGGGAAACAGCGAGCAGAGACAAGGGCAGGCGGCCTTTGTCGTGTCTACGCGCTGTTTTGCTCCAATCAGAGTTCGGAGTGCTCCGACACCCCTGCGCGCTCTCATCTCCTCCTCTCCTTCAGTTTGTCTCCGTATAAGAATTGATTACCTTCCGTCGCCCTATGTGGTCATGTGATAACGTTATGAGGTCGTTCTATTGCCTATGTACGCACTCTTGTTCCTTGTACGTAGCAGCTGTAAGCGCTCTTATTCGCGTCGGTCGTCCCGGCTAATGCATTCGGGTGTAGTCAGCGACGGCTTAAAGGCCGACGACCAGACTCGAGATTCTGTAAGGCAGAATATCCTGCTCACCTTGGGGGAGGAAGAAACAGGCAACGGTGGACAGGGTGGAAGGAGAGAGGAGAAAGCGAGGGAAAAGTGGAAAGCGCGAATTGGGACGCCGTTTTTTAAGAAACGCAGTGCGTGGCGAGACCCGAGCGCCTTATTGTGGTTCCGCAGCCAATAAAATTGCGGCGCATTGGCCGATAAGAATGTCAAAGAACCAACCAGGGAGCAAGATGTGTGAACGTAATGAGCCGCACCCTGCTGTTCCAAATCAAACACTGACTTTAGTATAGAGCATCGGGCTGAAAATCGAGAAGGCTTGGGTTTAACTTTCTGCGGTTGGAGGTGTGAAACTCTTCCCACCTTATAATTACCGAATTATTGATATAAATTCATAATAGCGAATTCGATTATTTATGTCGCCACGGTGCTCGTGTGACGCTCTTTTTGGAACGTTAGGCTCACTTTATTTAAACCAGTCCGAAAAGATATTGTGTGACAAGAATGACAATATAATGATTAAAGATGAGGCTATTTAATTTATTAAATTTATTTTCAGCTTAACGACCTAGTGAGAGCATTACATAATTAGGGTGGGGGGGTAGTTTTGATACATAAACCAACAAAAAAGGCGCTAATGTAGTGTTTCGCCTCAACACACCGTCCTCGGTTTTTCATATCGTTCGCGGCACCAGAATGCGAGCAATAAAGCTGAAACGAGGTAAATTGCGACGAAGTGCCGATGTCGCGAATGGACGAATTCTTTCTAAATGCGTATTGTACACTATGAGACGCCATCCAAACCTAAATATTTTTATTTATTTTTATTTATTTAACCTTGTTTCAGTTATGTAACCCAGGAAAGTCCAGGGCACAAGAACATTTTTGCTATTCAACCTGCCCACATGAAGAAACATGCTCCCTCTCTCATTTGCACTTCATTTCTTTGCTTTAAACGGTGAATTGAGCTGGGTCTAATATAATTTAGAACCGAATTGAGAAAAGATATGTTTCCTTCTTGTATTTTTTTTCTTTGTTATCCATCGTAAGTTGAAACATCCGAATCGTACTCCTTTCTAAGGCTTCCATTGTCTCTTTGACAAACAAATTGCGTAGTCAATACTTACACCATAAAAATGCACTGCTCCGCTACGTTCCTATACTGTATGATGTAGATGGTTGAGCGTGTTGGTTATTAATTAAGTCGAAAGCCTGTCTTGTCAGTTTGTCTTAGATGTCCCTCTTTCCTTATTGTGAACTATACTGTATGTCTGCGGGATTGGAGTGTGAGTGAAATAACTGTGTTTCAAAATGCGTTTACGCAGGGGCTTCAGCTTTAATAAATGTGATGTTTTGATGAGAACTTTGGGGTCCTGTAACTGAAAAACAAGGAGGCTTAAACCAAAACTGACTTAGCCAATAAAATACAGGGAAAAGACAAACTTTCGGCCTTGACGTAATGGATGCTAAAGCCTCGGCGTGATAATGCGTTACCAAGAATAAAAGCTGGAATAATATTTCCGTGAGAGTTTAGGCTGCTTAATTTCCCGTGCGATAGTTTTAAGGGATTTAGTAATATTTTGTGTTTTCTAAATATTCTTCCCGAGCGTTTACAAGTTTACTGCCAAGAGCACCATCAGACTGAGGAGCGGGTTTCGGCGGTGAATACACCAGTTTGGCTTAGGAAGAAATGTCTCGTTCTTGGTGAAATGCAATTTTCTTCTTCCATGGCATCAGATCCGTCTCTGACATTCAATTTGTCTTTGGGGTTACAAACCGCCCCCAAGCCTTACTCATAAATCCGATCTTTATCGTACTTTATAATTCTTCGTCAAAGTGCAAGAGAATATTGAACACTGGCGCACTGTGTGGCCACTTCCAGTAGCCTGTGAGAATATATGTAGACGTTGTTAGCGTTTCAATAACTGAAACCAACTTATTTTGTCTGGTCGCCCCGTTCATGGGAAATACCACGGATAAATAGTAAACCCACAGACGCGACGCCTGCGAGATATTTTAGAAGCTAATTTTCTTGACATATCATAACACCCCCCCCCCCCCTCCCCCCTTTTTCCGATGCACACAGAATCAGACACATGCAGAGCTACCATAAATTAGTTTAAATCAAATCTTTTTTGTGACGGTGGCGACTACTTAATGTTGCCATTATTCTACCAAGCGGTTTCTTTCGAGCCACAGTCGGTCATGACCATGCAAAACCATGAGATTGAAGCATATCATCAAATGCTTATATTAGCATCGCCGCACGCTCCTATGGTGACGAAGAGAAGATTTAGCAGAAGATATGCAAAATCGAAATTTGGGACCCATTCTCTGGAGAATTTAACTCAACGAAATCTGATTCCCTATCAGGTCTTCATCTGTGAAAGCTGGAGCCATTATTGATATCCATTAAACTGCTCTTTAATGTGAACAATATTGCATATTGAGACTAGGCAAAGCAGGACATAAATACCTAAGCACAAACTATCATCACTCACGGCACAAAAAAAGAACAAAAAAAAAACATGCAGGGTGTGGAGTTTCATGTTTCTTGCTTAATGATTGTTTCTTTGACATCATTTCCGGTTGATACCGAAATCTCGTTGAAGCAAATCGATAATAGTATACTCGACATTCTTCATACTTGCCTTTTTTAAGTCCTACGAGGCTACAAACACTGTTTATGTTTCCCTCCACCCAACAATAAACAACCAAAGGAAAAGTCATTGCAAGGCAAATGGTGTTGCATACGTGAAACGTTCTGGCAAACACAAACGTTTAGCGATACTCTCACGGCGCTCTTCGTCAGATGTTTAACGCGTGCTATCTGTATTCTGTACACTTGATAGTTGTTCTCCAAGTTTCACTTGTGCGTCACAGAATTTGCTACCCGAATTCGTCTACTCGGAGCAGCTGCACCATGTGGCTGCACCAGTATGCAATCGGTGTCGCGCACTGTAAATTTACCACTAATTTTGTCGAGGAAGCTGAATTGGTGCATAGGTCACTTGCCATCAGGTCACGTGTTGTCAATTTACCCGCTAAATGTAGTGGGGAAATTCAATTTTGGTATAGGTTAAGTGGTGTCCAAACAGAACACTACAAAACGCACGACTCCGACAAATCGCGAAAATTGAAGCGGACGCGCCCGCTTCAATTTTCACGATTTGTCGGAGTCGTGCGTTTTGTAGTGTCCTGTTTGAACACCCCTTTACGTGACAAGAAGTCGTGTGACGTCATTTTTCACGCTAAATTTAGCAGGGAAACTGAATTGGCGTTGAAGTCACGTGATGTCAATTTTGCTCTAAATCTAGCGGGTAAACTGAATTTTTGTATAGATCACGTGACATCATGTGGCGTGACGTCAATTTTTCCGATAAATTCAGCGGGGAGACTGAATTTGTGTAAGGTAACGTGACATGAAGTCATGTGACATCATCTTTCCCGCCAAATTTAGCGGGGAAACTGAATTGACGTTGAGTTCACGTAACGTCAATTTCCCCGCTAAATGTTGTGGGGAAACGGAATTTTGGTATAGGTTACGTGACAAGAAGGCAAATGACGTCATTTTATCGCACTAAATTTAGCGGTGAAACTGAATTGGTGTTAAGGTGATGTGACGCCAATTTTCCCACTAAATGTATCGGGGAAACTGAAGTTATGTGACGACATAGGTCACATCACTTAATCCGGCTTCGCTTAATCGCGCTTAACGAAATACGAAGCAAATAGCAAAAAACGTTTCACGTCAAAAAAACAATTATAAGAACCATAGATTAAAAATAAAACGAACTATCACGTGTGTCTTAGCGACTGTCAAGTGACCTAACAAATGCCAGGATTACGGTACCACGTGTGTGTGAACCGATTTGAAGTAATCATGTGGTTTATTTAGAGCGCAGCTCTTAGGCGCCCGTTCCCGGCTTGAGCGGCGTCGCCATCGCCGTCGCCGTCGGCATAACCCTCGTAAACCTCGTGAGGGTTTTGAAGGTTACGAGGGTTACTCTCACGAGGGTTATCCTCACGAGGATTACGAGGGCCACGAGGGTTATTTACCTTCAAAAGGGTTACCCTCACGAGGGTCACGATCGAGGGTTACCCTCACGAGGGTTATGAGAGTTACCCTTACGAGGGTCACGAGAGTTACCGTCACGAGGGTCAAGAGAGTTACCCTCACGAGGGTCACGAGAGTTACTCTCACAAGGGTTACTAGAATTACCCTCACGAGGGTCGCGATGGTTACCCAGGTCACGTAACCCCCTAACGTCACGTGACCCCCTCCCCCAGGTCACGTGGCCCCCCGTTGACGTCATCCTGATGGCGTCATCAGTGACGTCACTGATGACGTCACGGGCATCCGCATCGTCATCGTCATCATCACTGATGACATCATCAGTGACGTCACTGATGACGTCATCCTCATCATCACATGACCCCCAGGTCACGTGACCCCCCCCCCCCCCAAGGTCACGTGACCCCTCCGCCACCGAGGTCACTTGACCCACTCCCCAGTAGCCTTCCCTCCTCCTCCTCAAGAGCTACGCTCTAATTCGGCTTTACAGGGGGTTGTAAACGGCTTTAATTTTTTTGTTTTTGCATTCATGCTTCTTTTTTTCCTTTTTTTTTTGTTGCTGAGGAAAACTGAAGGCTTATTGACAAAGAGCCTCCAAGATTTTGCGTTTTTTCGTTTCTCCTAATGATGTTTTATTCTGCAGTTTTTGCATCGTCGTTAGAAAGCGTGTATTAAATTTAGTTATATTAAAACTTTTTTACTTTCGTGTTTTATATATTGTTTACTGGCTATGCTTTTCGTGCCTATTTCTTTGTACAAGAATATGATTTATTTCTGTCATATATTTTTTGCACTGTGAATGGGAAGTAAACTGATTTGATAGCGATTTTTCTTGTTTTATGTGTACAGTCGGAATAATTGCAGCGCCAAATAGCGATGTTTGCCTCGGGATCGCGGAATCAATTGCCACGCTTGATGTAGCACTCGATCTGGACTCTGGCTACTCCTACACTTCCCAAAAGCTTTACTGTATCTCAGGTGCTCAAACAGTTCTACGACTGAGACCTCAGCTTCGCATTACAATGCATCTTTGGACCCCAGTCTATTTAAAAACTGACAGGTAAGCCCGTGAAACATCGGGGGCTGTTTCAGCTCATACTGTTCTTAATCATATATGCAATATTTTTGTTCCCCTTCCCGCCTGGACCAACACGGTCCACGGTATGTAAAGAAAATCATGATAATTATGCAAAAGTTTCCAGTTGCACCCTTTTTGTTGTTTCGGAAGCACTGTAAAGCCGGTGCCACACTCCTCGTACATCATACAAAAGACAGTCTGCCAACACGAGTCATCGCAATGTCCGTGGTTCAAATGCTGCGTGCCAAGTTTCCTCATTGAACTCATTGCCACGCGGCGTTCGAAGCACTGATCTCGCTGTGACTCGCGTTCGAATTGGTATGCAGACTGTCATTCGGTTTATGTATGAGCAGCGTGATCCCGGCTTTACTGAAGTTGGCAGGTGCAACGCAGACAAAGCGTCTACGCAATGCACCAGGCGAGATTACGTTTATTCGGGTCAAAGAACGCAGTGATTTTGAAATACCACAAATTACCATTCAACGCAGCGAAACTACGGAGACGCACACAATTATCCTACGCATAAATCACGTAAAGGCATCAGGCGTAAAACGTCGTCAGCTGGGTTAATCTTTCACCGCAAGCAAAGCACGCTCGGCGATGTCGAAACCGTTTTCTTTCCAGAACGCCACCGATTTCATTGCGGCGTTCCTATCAAAACAGGTGATTACCCTTTCAGTGACGTAGCGCATGAAATGGGAAGTGAAAGTGCTTAATCGACTTCTTCGAAACTCGGTGATGGACATTGCAAATGATGTGTCATCGCAATATTTCTTTCATCTGTTAACCTTCACGATTTGGCGAAGTGTAATGTTGTGGGGGAAAGACGCCTGTGAAAGACCGATTGCGAGATACCACGCCTTCCCGCGCGTCGCCTTGGAAATCCGACAGGACGCCTGATGGGAGAGGCCTACTCGAGCACCGCAGGAAGTCTGTTTATCGGTACTATCAACAGCATTCGAGGTGCGCCTTCGTTGGGTATAAAAATTCATGCGCCCGTCTCCAAAAGCATCAGTATTCCTTACTAGTGTTGACTTGATCCGTCAAGGACCAGAGCCCGTCACGATGCTGAAGTTTGTAAGTAAAAACGAGGCTTCGGAGTTTGAGGGAAAAACACAGATGTTCGAATAGGAAAAGGAAAAACAATAGGAAGTCACATTTCGCTAAGCTTAATTTTTTTTTCCACTTTGACAGGGAACAATTTTTTTTTTATCGACATAGAAGGAATAGTTGACCAGTGAGCTAGTTGTCCAAGATTTTTCTTTCTTTCTTTCTCTTTCTCTGTTATACATACATACATACATACATACATACATATATATATATATATATATATATATATCATTGAAGCAATGTAATTTTAATCGCCTATTGGCATTCCTCGCAGCATGTGTCTTGTACTCGGATTCTTTTCGAGTTGCTATGTCTCCACGATCAGAGTGTACTAATTGAACATTTAAACTCGGCTCACTCGAATGCTAGCTGTAGTTGAAAAGCAACAAAAAAAAAAAAAAAGGCTATACAAAAAGAAGATAAAACTGACGACGTATTCAAGGATGCCCTCAATCTGCTTATGGCACTGAATATTGGGCAATGTCACTGCGAATTCGGTAATTAATATAAAACTAATCCAAAGGTCAATTCGAAAAAAACGAGAGTATAAGTGGCCGAAATGGCATGCTTTCTTTCTGTAAAGCACTTTATTAGCTTTTTCATTCCTATTTTTAAACTCGATGACATACGTCAGCAACGTTCCTTACTCCTCCTTCACTTACTTTATCAGTACTTTGCCTCCCGACGAATCACCAGATGTGTTCGACAGTTTATTCAAGGTTTGACCCTCTTCGACGTGTATAACCGAACACAGACCACCCTAAAGTTTAAAAAAAGGCACCAATACACATAGTTTGTGTCTGAAATTTATGTTGTCATTGAACGCCACTGAATGGCTCGTGGCTCTCGCGATATGACCAGGTCCATAACTCTCGCTGGGAAAGTGTAGTCACTGAAGAACGTTCTCTTCTGGCTGATTTATCGACCGCGGAACATCAGTCATCCCCCAACGTGTCTCGTTCCCCACAGACCCTTGTGCTGTTGGGCGTGAGTGCCTGCTTGGCCTACCCCGGCGAGACGGAAGTCGAGGCCCGTGGCGCGCTCCTCGGCGGTGGCATCGGTGGCGGCCCCGGCTACGTCGGAGGTGTGGGACCTGGCGTCGGCTACGGCGGGGGCTACGGTGGCGGCGTGGGCGGCTTCGGAGCCGGCTACGGACACCAGGCCGGCGCGTCTCAGGGTGGCTTCCAGGCCGGCGCTGCTGGACACAAGCAGGGCAGCGGTGGCTTTGCGTCCGGCAACGAGCACAAGAACGTGCAGGGCTACAGCAACTCGGCGGGGCACCGCAACAGCCAGGGGTTCTCTTCGTCCAGCAACAACCAGTACGGAACCGGCTACAACCAGGGTTCCAAGGGCTTCAACACCGGTGCCGCTGGATCTCAGGGCTCCTTCGGTTCTCAGGGTTTCGGCACTCAGGGTTTCGGCGTCGGTCACGGCGTTGGCTACTAAACGAACGGTGAGTTCCTCTTCGACTACGTTTTACGATATTTACTATAGATTTAGGCAGGCAGCAGTGTTGTGGGTACTTCATTGCTAATCTCAAATAAATTGTTAGAAAATACCTTAAAATCTTTGGCTAAACAAAAACAAGGTATCTGCATAAAAACCTCGGCGCGATGGCCGATCAAAAACGCAGTATTTTTTTAATGAAAAAATATCAAAGGTCATATTAAAGAAATAAGAAACAGAAATAAAGAACTATAGAGAAGCCTCAGCGCACTGGTGTTCATTTTGTTGATACTCATTCACTTGCTCCTTTTTCAGGAAAGGGGCGGGCCACCACTTGAAAGCAAGCCATGAATCTAAGGAAGCGATGAAAGGCCGCGTTGGAGTTGTTTCTGAAGAAGAAAACTGGGAAGTGTACATACGCACATTAATAAATATTGTTACAAAAAAGAAGCAAATGAGAAATTGGTGATTGATATCTGCTGATATGTGTCACTAGAGTTTGAAAAAAACAATTTTTTTTGAGAGAGTCATATAGAGGTGTTCATCGCTTTATAAACTCGGTATACTCCCCGAAAAAGAAATCAGCCGGGCGTTGATTTTTTCAATCCGATCATTCACTCGATACACATTTTGAACGAAAAAGTGTGCACGACTGCAGCTTTGAGTAAGCGACATATGTAGGAACTTTCTTAACGTTCACCCTTTGAGACAAAGTGTAAGCCTTAAGGAATAAGTTCCCAAGTGAACATTGTAGGCTAGAAATGGACGGATTATGCACAAAATATTACTTAAAAATATATTTTGCATAGCAAAAAAAAAAACAAAAAAAACACTCCACTGCGCATTTTGAAAGGTGCAACTTCACCCGAAAGAAATCTTGGCAAACCGACGGGACACGAAAGCATCATCCTAATATGTCACTTGAATCATATGTTTTACGTAGTTTTCTTCGAAGGTTGAGTTTGACTGAATCTTCTCATATCAATGGCAATTTGCTATCGCGACTGCAAATGTTCCCCTCCGACGCGATGGATTCTCCGCGTGAAAACCCCATTCGCAATCAACTAGCGTGGCCGTCGGCAGCTAGCGCCATCTCTCAGTCGCGGTGTCAAGTAGCCGGCTTACGTCACGACCTCCGAGATCCCGAAGCTCGCGCGCGAAGGCTTCTCCGGCCGTCTCATTCGAGTCGCTCCTCCCCCCTCCCCCAGCAGTACGAGTGTAGTTGCGCTAACTCCGTCGCTCGCCGCGAGGTGGCGATGTCTGCCCAGTCATAACAGAGGAGCGAGCCGTCAGCGTCGCGTGTAGAGATCTGCACTGGTACGGGCTAGACCGCGGGGCGCAGGCCCAGACTTGTACGTAATCCGTTACAATTAAGTAACGAAATTACTTGTAATCCCTTACATTTATCAGTAATTTAGTAACGGAATAATTACATATTTTCTAGAGTAATTTTAAAGTAATTCCCTTACATTTTTCACGTAACGGATTCTTTGTAATCCGTTACATTTTTTTGTCAGAACCAGCCCCCCCCCCCTCCAATTCCAAATGAAGTTTTTTTTTTTTTTTTTTTTTTTTCATCTTTGTAAAGTCTAGCGCAGTGACACTGTCACGCGAATCGACCAGCGCAAAGGGAGGCTTGGCACTCTTCAGTTCCGCAAAGCCTCTTTTTGCAACACCAAGCCCCTGAATCTATCTTTTTTTTAGACCCTAACGTCGATGTCAAAAAATCTAAATAAACAATTTTACAAAAATAAAAAGGGGGGGGGGCAAGATATTTTCGCTTTTTTTAGTCCCTTTGTTTTTTCTTTGCGATCGAGGACGGGGAGAGGAGGACACCAAGTGATTGTGCGCCTCTTCGAGAAGCTCGAGGAGGTAAGTGCACAGACAATAACTAACAATGTCCTTTTCGGTTATAGTGGCCACGACCATTTTCATAATGTCACAACACGAGACAACGCTCCGTCAACCCTACCCTTTTCGTGACTTGAGGCTCGTGAAAGGTATGTGGATAATATTTATCTGCTCGAAAAGCATCTGCGTAAGGGTAGCATAGTCTCTGCTTGTATCATCTTGCTTTAAAAGTAGTTGCATTCTCGTTGGAAGCAAATACCAACCCACGAGTAGGCGCTCGCGATCGGCCGCGTTGCTCCGGCTGCGCGCGCCAGGTCGTGCGTGACTGACGCTGTGTGGCTATGTTTGTGCGCTTCCTAGGTTGGAGAAACCGTATTCACGAAACACACGCATTGCTTTTCAGCGTCCATGTCCCTTGCAACGATCACCAGCCACATCGGCGAGAACAACAGGTGCCCCGTTGAAGGCGAGGACGTACTGAAATGTGATCACGTAACCGAGCCCAGCGTAATACAGAACACATAGGTGAACATTATAACGTAGAATGTGGCTAATTAGACTGCATATTGGCATTAAATGTAAGAAGTTGTCTTTTTCGGTTTATTTTATTGGTTATTTAAAGGTGCACGGTTCACGATGAAATATCAATGAGTTCTGCACGACGAGGCCTTAGTCATACACACATTTGCATTGCTCAATCGAAATTATAGGAATAGCAACATGATTCACGCAATTGCGTGAATATCACAATATCGAACTAATACTGCTACCGAATATGTTCCAGTGTAAAAGCTAGCCTGAAATAAAATAATGATCAAATGATAGCAGTGCCTCTCGGTGGCTTCCGAAGCCTCACTACCCGGTCGCGTGATTCCTTCGGAAGATTCTCCGACGGAACGGTGTTCCGTATCAAGAACATCCTTTTGTGCCCTGTCATGAAATAGGGGGGGAATATTTTGCCGGCAGCCGGCACTACCACTCGAGAGGGGGAAAAAAAATTTGCCGGGAGTTTCGAACGGCAATGATTATTCTAAAAAAGATGAATATTAATCGCCAAAGGTTTCACGAGAAAAAAGAAAGTTCTACCCTGATTTGAACCTGGGACCCACGGCACGTGAAACGGACACCTTTCCACTCAGTTACTCACGCAACGGAAGTTCCTCTTTTGACTATTCCTTTTACACGAAACCCAATAAAAACAACTACCGGCCATTTTTTTTTTGCTCGGTTTGTTGTGCCGGCTGCCGGCAGAATATCGACTACCTATGAAATACAATGTACGGTTTGAACGGATGTCGATGCAAGCGTAATTTACGCGCGTACATGCCTCGTCCTTTAGCGCAATTTGTTTGGAAGACATCGCTTGAGAAGTGACGATCACACCACGTCGACCGCACTCAACTTCTTCCTATACTCTTACTTATCCACTGCGATTTGAGTTTGTTTGTTTTTTTCGGCAGAAAAGCGGTGAAAACTGATTTTAGGCTCTAAAGCAAGCGCTGAGCGCTGCGGTGCGCAACAAGCGTACTATATTCTAACAAACCTGCAGGGAACACGACAACAACACGGCAGCCAACGGCAGCACACTGGGACGCCGAAGTTGTTTTCCACGCAGGCGGTATTTGTTTTGGTGAACGCAGCGGCCCCTATAGTTCGACCTCCTCACCAATAGTCTTCCTTTCTTGTTCTTCGTCCTGTTTTGCCCCAGCAGGACCCATCTTATCTCAAGCAGATATTTTTACAAATAAAACATAATGGTGGCTGACGTAGACTTGATATTTTGGGCTTGAAGAGAGTGAAATTCGTGAGTGGGGCCATAGCGCGGCTTACTTAGTAGTCTACCCTCTGCTGCCCGTGGCATCAGCGGACGTCTATCTGGAGAGCACCGGAGTAAACTGCAATCGGTCCGTGCTCCGTGCGTTTTTGAATGGCACCAAGAAAGGTACACACGGCGGACGTGCGTTTACATTTCCTTGTTTTAATCGACGTTCTAATTAATTGTTGTTATGAGTGTCCTTTTTCTTTTATTACTTATATTTATATACTGGAAACATATTTTTTTATTCCCCAACATCTCCAGTGAGGCTCGAACTGTTCAGAACCAAAGGGAGAAGAATATCGAGCCAACCCTTATTTATTATTTAGTTATCACCTTACTGTTACAACTATGTTTTGCTATTGATGACTTCTACAGTTTCGCGATTTAAACAATGGAGAATTTTTGTAGATTGGTCCGATGACTCCGATAACGATATCCGATACTTCGCCGCCGTCTTTGCGCATGCATCATATCGTTATCGGGTACCGCTATCGCGGCTATCGAAGGTATTAAAAGGATCTACTAAATCTCTCGAAGAGCAGGCAACAGCTGCAACGACGAAGCTTTGCTCTACATTCGAGGTAAATAGTACTTCCCTCGCTTCGCTGAAAAAGCTCAATGCAGAGCATGAAGCATTCGTGAGGAACAACATTGCACTCCCCTCCAGTGCCTCACCTCAAATGGTGTTCAGCGTAGCAGTCGACATATTGAAAAAGAAATAACGCAAAATGTCTGACGAGATTTTCGAGAGCCAACTGTTGCTCAAACTACTCAAGGTCATTAAATGGAACAGGTGGCAACAATAAGAACTTGAATAACCCTCGTCCCTTTGTTTCTTACTTGAGGAGAATAATGTTAAAAGTAACGCCACAAAAGTAACGGATTACTTTTTGGGGTAACGGCTAGTTACTTTCATGGGAGGGTAATTGTAATTGTAATAAATTACAATTTAGCCTCGAGTAATTGTAAATGTAATTCCTTACTATTTTTCAGTAACGTGTACAAGTCTGCGCAGGCCATCCCGGGCCGCGGGCCGGGCTCGGGCTTCCCGGTTGCGTTTATGAAGGGCCCAGGCCGGGTACGGGCCTTGCATCCAAGTCTACATGGCGGGCCAAAGCGGGAAAGCCGGTCATTACTTTTTTTTAGCAACATGGACTTTGGATGCGTGTTCGGGGAGTTGGGAGAGGAACCACAAAGGGGGAGAAGCAGATGCTAAAGTATGTGTGTGTGCGTCTATGTTTTCGTGCGTTTCGGCGTGTGTGCAGCGAATGCTCTTCCAGAGGACTAGCGGCGCGGCATTCCTTTTCGCCTATCAACACGCACACATACGAGCCTACACTATGCGCACCGGCGTAAACCATCTGTACGTACGAGTGCGTGCATCCCCAATATGATTGGAGAAGTTCCCCTGAGCGGTGCTTTTCCTGAACAATTTCTCGCAGACCACGGCGAAGGACAGCGATACTTTTTTTATGCTGTACGCAGCGAAAGTGGGTGATTTAGAACTTTGTGTATGAGCGAACCCGTCGCAACTTTTCGCTTCCTTTTCAACTGTGGCACATGGTTTTGCTTACTGTTGCTTGTCATTTTTGTGTTTTCCGTTCTTTCCGCGCGGGTTTGGTCGCAAAGAAGGACGATCGGGATGATTTTTCTCAACAAGCTGCCCAGGCCTGCAGATTTTTCCGACTAATATTATCAGGAAAAAGCTCGAGCTACAACTTATTACGTCTTATGTTTTGTGAATGCGAAAGCATGCAAGCAGCTGGTCCGCTCCCTTTTT